CATATATTCAAATTAATAAGCTCACAAATTTGACACATTTAGAATGGTCGGTTTTTGTTTTCATATCGTGGTGACCTGCAATAAATTCTGAAGAAAATTAAAAGCCTGTGTTTATTTCGTATGTCTCACTTTGTACGTCTCGTTGTATGTCTCGTCCTAACTTTCAGCCTCACATCATTTCTGTACAGCTGCAAACAGTCACTTCCCAACAGTACTCTGTGCTGGAAATCTTTATCTAGACTCAGGAAAGGGATGAGCTTTTAGAAATCCTGCCATCAATATTGTGTTTAAGGAAATAAGGTTTGGTTATTTTCATTTTTCTTCATATGAAAACATCCTCTTATCTCTTGTTGCATTTTATGGTTAATTATTTCAACCTGACTTGTTCTGTGGAATGACAATTTCTGGTTTGAAATGGCATCCTGCTTCAGTCGTAGACAGGAAGTCCTAATTTCTAAAATTGAGAGGTATCATTGGCTTCTGGCTATAAGTGTCATGGCTGAAGTGTTTTTGCTATTAGCATTTTTCAAATTCGTTGACTATTTCTTTTATAGGTCAACTGTCCTGTAAAATAACATTTTTGAAAAAAGTGTTAAATCTGTGTCATCAGTCCATAGGCTAGCATTTTATATGCATCCAAAAATGGAGAGTTCCTTCCATGCAGACAGACAAAGGAATAATTATTCCCCCCATAAAAGTTAGTCTAATCTGTTCACACATTTGCCTCATCCATAGAATAAGCTAAAGCATATAGATGACTCAGACTTTGGAATTTATTAATACGGTTCAGTTAATGTTGGAGGCCAAATTAGCCAAACTGTATGCACTTACTACCGCATGTATGATTATGTCACATCTGATGTTTTCCTTCAGGAATCTCCTTGTAATTCAGTTCTAGTCTCGTCCTAACTTTCAGCCAACTACATTTATCACCTGTTCGGTGCCGTAAGCCCATTCCACCGTCACTAGTGCCCATCCCTAAAGTAATGTAGAGAATGACCTTTGTAATAACCAGGCATTATTTCTCCCCTCTACCGTCTGGATTTCTGTCCCTACTTGGTTTCACTTCTGTGACCTAGAGTCATATGATGTGTTGGAGGCCAAATCAATCAGCCGTTCCCCTTCGGGAAAACAACATTGCAATGGTCCCATGATGAGGAGATTCAAATTTGGCTGACCTTGTATTGTTTGTTTTTAAGTAGGCTATTGGTATAAAACCATGAACTCCTGATTTTAATGTCTAGGCCATTAGGTTTCCTTGCCCACTATATTTCTGGCTTTTGTGGGAGATGAACTACCTACTTTCCAGCTCTGTTAGCCCTGGGGTCCCTGGTTCCTGGCCTTAATAATCATCCCTGCCTCAAGCCTTCATGAAGGGGATTGTTCTGTTCACCCATTAGTTCAACAAACATTGAATACCTGGAGTCTGAGAAAGTACCCTGCTGGAAATTGAGGATACATGATCCAAAAGATACAGTCCACATCCGTAAGCGTGCAGCTTAGGGTAAGTAGGGACCAGACTCAAGTGAAATATTTTAGAGTTACAAGGAGTGTATCATACAGAGTTCTCCAAAGAGGCAGAGTTAATAGGAAATACTTACATTAAGAGACTTATTAGAATGAATTTACTCATTTTAATGGTGAGGCTGGCAAATCAGAACCTTTAGGGCAGGCTGGAAATACAGACAGGGTTCCTATTGTTAACGTCTGGGGGCAGAATTCTTTCTCTGGAAATGTCAGTTTTTGCTCTTAAGGCTTTCAGCTGATTGGATGAGGCCCACCTGCATTATGACGGAACTCAGTTTTACTTAAAGTCAGTTGATAATGTTACATAAACACATGAACAGAACATGATGACTGTATGTTGACCCAAGAAACTTACCATCCCCAAGGTGACACGAAGACACACAGGGGCCCTTAATGTAGCTTGGGATTTGCAATTTAGCATTTAGTATTTTTGATAAATTTGTTAGCTCGCTCCATCTGTAGTAGCTTTTACCATAAAGATAAAAAAAAAATAACTTAGATGCTTCTGAAAGGAAAAAAATTAAAATAGCATTTTATAATGTCTTTAACTCAGCTGTACTGAGGCAAGAAATGATGTACTTCCACAGTTCACAGTGTGTCAAGAGCTTTTTTTCTGCACAAGCTATTATTCCCAAGATTGGCAAAACCTGTCAGGTCACTTTGACCTGGTTCTTTGGGCCTCTCAACCACATTTCACAAACGGAAAAATAACCTCACCTCAATCCTTAATCATCTCTTTTGAGTACTACCATTTTTTAACAGTGCTTTAAAAAAAAAAGTCATTTAGAAATTATGACAATTTCTCTACATCCAAGAAAAGGTCCTAGGAAGTGTTAGATCATAGAAAAAAAAAAAAAAACCAACCGGGTTTACATTGATATAAAGAAGAGGAAATGTAGTGTCAAAGTCCATTTGGAATTTCTATGGCCAGTGTCCATCATTTTATTCACTGAACCACAGTCACTAGGGAAATGCAACTGATTTGTGTGCATTGATTTTGCCGAATTTATCCATTCTGGAAGTCTTTTGGTGGAGTCTTTGGGATTTTCTAGGTACAAGATCATATCATCTGTAAAACACAATCATTTGACCTCCTGTTCCCCAATTTGAATACCTTTATTTCTTTCTCTGGGTAGGACTTTCAGTACTATGTTGAGTGGATAAGAAAGACTAAATTGATAGGTGTTTGTAGGTGAGGAATGAAAAGAGAGCATCCTGAAATATGGAAAAAAGGAAACCCTAAGTGCAAATTCCCACAGGGGTGCCCATGAGCACAAATGACATTACGGAAAAGTACTCGATCATGTGGGCAAGTTTATAACTCTCCAAAAATGTAGAGAAAAAGGGGGTAGTGAAAAAAAACATGATTGAACAAACAAAAAACAAGTATAGCCATTGAGTTATAGGCAAGCTCAAAAAATTCCCCAGGAAAATGAAAGAAGTCATAATTAACGAAAATTTTCCTGACCTAAGCCAAAAAAGCTAAGTTTATTCTCTGGTAGTATTCATTATCTCTATGCAAAATTAATGAAGACTACTGGAAATAAGACATATCCTTTAAAATGCTTAAAGTTCATATAATTTGATTTTAAAGAGAGCATGCAGAAGAATCATTATTTACAGTTATGTTATTCAAACCCTAGAAAATGCAACAGAATGCATAGAAAAACTTAATGAATTCAGACAGGTGGCTAATTGCATATTAAACATTCAATTAATATAAATTAGAAATGATCGGTTAGAAGATATAATGGAAAAAGATCTCTTTCATGAGTCTATTACTACTACTACTACCAATTTAAAAAACTGTGAAATATAAGGGACCAAGTTTACAAAAAATATAGAAAACCTTTAGAAAGGAAACTATAAAACTCCCAGGGGATATAAAGGTATACTCAAATGAAAAGATTCTTGGTCAGATTCATGTAGAGATCCTTCCTTCATACTCTAAATCTCTGAATATGTATATATTTATCTTACCTCGTATTATCTGTAACTTTATGTTTGTGCATTTATAATT